TCTCATGAGGAATTGATCGTGTTGGGATTTTCTCCAGTGACAGCAGTGCTCTGTCTCTGGGTGCCTCCGTCAGCATTTAATTATCTTAGTTAAGACTTTCACGGAGTCAGAATTTCAACTCGATGTGTCGATGGAGTTAGCCACAGCTGTTTGCTAATGCTAATGTGATCAATGTCTCTCACCCATTGATCTGCGGCAATGCAGTTTTGGGCTTCACTCTGGTCAGGGGTTACATCAGAAACAGTCACAGAAGTGAAGTAAGTTTAGTAATTTAATTTCATTTGGTTTAAACAGTATTTCCTGTTTATTAAACATTACATATTAAACGTTCAGAGTTATTGCCTGGGAGGTGAAGTAGATCAAATCATATTTTTTTAAACACTAGAAAAAAAACACAGATTTGTTTTTTGTATTAATTAGAGTGTTTTGAACTAAATTCACGGGAGTTTTGAATCAATAGCTTCAAATGTGTCGACACAGGTGTTCGATGAAGAAAAAGTTTGTGACTCACTGTCATGATTTTTTCAGCTGTCACTTTTCAGAATGTGCAGATCTGTCAGCAAAAGAAACAAAAAAAAATAAGCAGATCCGGCTAAAAGCTGGAGCTGGTGCAGATCTGTCAGCAAAAGAAACAAACAAAAAAAGTTTTTAAAGTTTGTAAATTCACTTTTAGACTCATCGATTCTTAGAATTTTTCAAACCACACCTGAAGTAAACACAGCGCCTCCTGTGTAGTTTTACGGCCCTGCTGTCATATCTCATTGTTTAGATTGTTACAACACTGGGATAAAAAAACCTCAGCTGCCTGTTATCATAAAGTTGTAATGCTAATAATGATAAAAAAAAAAAAGATTAGCAGACGCTCGCGCTGCGTTCTGTGTCAGATATCTTCTCACTCCTCTTTTCCAAACATGGCCTTTGTTAGACTAGCTTCGCTCTAATCTGCTGTTTACCACTGAGTGGAGGTCGTAGTCACAGCAGGTCTGTATAAAGGGATCAACCAGAGACGGCAAAGGTTTCACTGACCAATATAGAACGGACTTTTGAATCAATTCAAATCAGGCTGTTAAAATGTGTAGTTTATACCTGCTCTAAATATGTTTATATATTCTTTATTTAAAGTGTTACTAACCAGTAATGGAGGCGTTTCCATTAATTGGACCCAGAAGAGCTGTGAACCAGTAGTTAGACAACACTCCTCCACTGTGGGAGGGGTCAAGTTCCACTGCTGTCCAGTAGACTCCACTGTTTCCTCCTTCCACTGAGGCTGTGATTTATTGCATGCCTGAGTTTCTGTGTGTGTGTGTGTGCAAAAGCAACCTCATAGATATGAACACTGCTGCATTGAATTTCTTTATGCTGTTGGGATGCATTAATTATGGTCACAGCCAGGCCAGCAAAAAAAAAAAAAAAAATCAATATTTATGAAAGAGCAAGGTGTTGGATATGGAGAGAGTCCACTTCCTCTTCCTGTGCTGTGGAGATGGACCTGGTGTATGGCTTGGAGTCATAGTTTAATTCTGTCACTCCTCGGCCAGTGTGAAGACACAGTGGCTGTTGTTGTCATTTTTCTTCTCTGTTGTGGGTTGCACAGATTGGGTGAGTTGAGGAAATTGGATCTTCGGTCCCTGCAGATCTCCTGTCCCTGATTCACTGGAGCTCCACTGTGT